CCCCAAAACCCCAAAACCCCAAGAAGCAAATAATACATTCTGATGATAAAATGAACAAGTTAAATAAATTGATTTCTCTGTTAGCATTAAGTATATTTGCTTCATTCATTTTCCTCTTCGTTTTGTCTAAGTGCATCCACAATAGTTTGCTTATGATGATTTGAAAGCTTTTTAGGGAACTGGATGTCAAATCTAATTTGAAGATTTCCTTTGGGGAGTTGAGATACAGTCTTAAGGTGATCAAGGATATTAATTGAGCCATCTGTTTAAATTGGCATTCCTTCTCCCTCGACTAGCTTTGAGGTTTATGGAGTGATGATCTCATCTAGTGTCACCACAAGTGTTCTACCATCTAAGGCTTTCTATAATGAAATTAATTCGTTACTTTAAAATTACCAATGAAACAGGCTCTGATAAGAGAGCATTTTCAAGTGAGATTCTCTAGGTATAAATAAGATCATCCCCTTCTCTGTGATAATAGTCATGTGGAGTTTATCTGAATCTAATAACTAGTTTGCTTGGTCTGTGAGCGTGAGCTTCATTTCCTTTTGATGGGAACTCGAGTACTGTACTTTCTGAGAAGCCAGGCTTTACTTCAATGTTCATCTCCTCCTTTTATGGTCTGGTGGTTCTACCATCATGAGAGAGCACTTCTCTGTCAAAGTCAACCTTCTTCAAACAACCGTTGTAAAATTCATATAGAGTGCACTCAAGTGTGATTACGATGTCAGATGGAGCTGGGAAAGATGGTTAATTTTAGCCTCCAAAGGCATCTCCAAACATTGATCCATATTAATCCCTTCCGTCATCTTCAAGTACATCACTGAATGGGTTTGAGGTTCCAAAGAATTTATCAAAGATTTCATATGAGTTTCCAGCAAATCTATAACCTCCAACAATCTCTATAATTTCAATATTATACCCAAATTTTAAATGAAATTTGACATACATCCCGAAGCATTTGGGATGCCTTCCTTCAAACCATATTCACCAAACTTGTCATACCAAGCCTTTCTCTCCTCTAAAGCATTTAGATTAATATCCTAACTTACGATGAGATAAAACATCATAGGCTTCACAAATTTCAGAGAATCTCGACGAATTAGTAGCCAAATCAGTTGGGTTCTTTAATGGATGATACTTGAGAGCGAGTCTTCGGAAACTATTGAAATATCATTATTAGGAAATAAAACTATACGCCTAAGCAATGTGCTCATGAGAAGCTGATCTTGCTAGTTCAAGTATTTCGTAATAGTTCTTACTCATTTTTCTTAAATTATTGTTTATTAAATTATTCTTAATTTTTCAATTCTTAAAATGATTTTCACATGGGGTTTTGGGGTTTTGGGGAGATCGGAAGAGCG